CCGTCTGCCGGGACAACATCACCACGGCCTCCAAAATGGCGCAGCGGAGGGGCAATGGCCATGGCATTCAGATCATATGGGCGCGTCTTTGTGTTGGTGGTACCACTTTTTGGGTGTGGTTTAAAGGGAAACCAAAAGCAAAAACATTTCTTTGGGAGTCCCCTAAAAAGAGACGCACCCATACGGTATTTGGCATATTCAGCTTCCCTCCAATTGGTGGTTTAAAGCCCGGTTAAAGAGGCGTAAACCCCATTTACCCTCTACAAGAGCCAAGGGTTCAAATCCCAAACCACCAATCTACACCACCAATTAGGTTGTACTTGACATATGGTGTATCATGTGATATATGGTACCCAGTGACCAGTTGCCATAGCAACCAAAGGAAACCATCCTGGCTACTGGTTCCCTGGAGTTTTCGTATGGTATGCCCAGTGCTTCCAGTAATAGGAAGTACCAAAAGCAAATCACCATACCCTGGTTGCCTACTATAGCGGGAACTGGAAGCACCGAGGCAACTGGTACCGGCATTCTGGAAGATGACAGGTGATATATCGTGTGTGTGTGTGTGTGTCCAAAAACTGAGCCTGCACCGGACAAAACGCAGAGACAGTCCGTTGTCACGCCTATTTCGGTTCAAAGGTGATTTGGGGTATACCTAAATCCCCGCATGGAGACCTAAACCGGGCCACCGCCAAATCCCACCCCCAAGCCAGGAGTCAAAAGTCACAGGTCGGTTGCATGTTCTGGCTTTCCAGCGCCCCAAGGTGCTGGTTTCGACGCACAGCTCACTTCGGCGGTTCCATTGTTTTCCATTTGTTTCCATTGGTTTCCATAGGTTTCCGTTGGTTTCCGTTGTTTTCCATTTGTTTCCATTGGTTTTCATAAGTTTCCATAGGTTTCCATAGGTTTCCGTTGGTTTCCCTTGGTTTTCATGGGTTTCCGTTGGTTTCCGTTGGTTTCCGTTGGTGTCCCAGGTGGCAACGCCGTGCTCGCGGCTTCGTCGCCTTCTCGGCCCTCTTGGCGATCGCTTTGGCCACACCGTGGAACTTGGGGGCGTGATCCTGGCCAAGAGCCCCTTGTAGGGGGTACCTCGCCAACTCAAACCTCCGATCGAGTGGACGGGGCGAAGAAAAAGAAGGAAACCGCACCTTTTGTTTGCCGCTCCATATCCTTATATTCAAAAAAAAAAAACGACACCCTTTTGGGTTCCCCCTTACCATTCAACGCGATGGACAGATGGGTCCTTCACATTCGACAGCAATGCCGTGCGCTTTGCGCCGGTGTAGGAACCTGGCGCGAGAAATCGCGCGACGGCAACAACGTCTGAGTTTGTGGATGGGAATGAAACAAACATGGGGGGCTTTGGTGGACATGGGGACTAAAAAGGTGCTGGTTCCGTGAAACTGGCACCAGAAAGCTCCAAGCACTTTCAAAGGGGTGTGTCTTTTGTTGAGCGTGCCCCTTTTTCGGTGGTTTTAAAGGACAACTCAAAGGAAAACCACCATTTTGTTGGGGCCCCGAAAACAAAAAACACACCCGAAGGGGGTCCAGCTTCAAATTGCGGCATCCACGGTAGCTTCCAAAGCTGCGAACGAACCGCCCGGCCGTGGAAGACGTGGAGGTTGCAGTAGTTCGACAATCTCGCGAGCCGTTTCTCCTGTCAGGGCCAAAAAGGCTCCTCGCTGACATGGAATCCTTAGCGCTTCCAACTTCCAACTGATTAACGGTCCTCAGGCAGACGAGTGAGTCTTGGAGTGATCATAAACCTCGGCAGTCCCAGCGGTTCAACACGGGCGTGTCTTTTTCTGAGGGTACCCCTTTTCGGTCGCCTTAAAGGGAAACAAGGAAAACCGAGATCCGGTTTGGGGGGGTCCGGATCCTAGAAACAGACACATTTACACGGTCGCCTTGGGGCCACCAGTGATTCAGCACGGCATCTGGCACGCCCGAGGCATCTCTCGGGTTGGCACTCCACCTCCTTGAGCAGATATCGCTTCAGAGCCTCCGGAAGAGGAAACGAATATGCGGCGTGAGTCGGCTTAGCGGTCGGACAGAATTCGCGGTCCGAGACCTGGTTCGACCATATGGACGAACTCCGTTCGCACCCCTTTGAAACTATGGTTGAAGCCATTGTTGGTTGGTATTTACAGGGGAATCGAATCCGAAACCAGGGTTTCTGAACGGCGGTGGGAAGTGGATCTCGCCACCATCCCCAGTATCATAGCCATCTTGGACTCTTTGAGCATAGCTCTGCCTCTCCATGAAGAGAGTGCATCCTCACCAGATCCTCGGCCAAATTGGGGCCCAGCCTCTTAGCCTTCGCAGGAGTCGTCTTTTTCGACCCTGGGCATAACTTGCTGGTGCGATAGGTAGGGAACGAATGAACCTGGGGAATTCTTTGGAAACCACAAAGAATGGTTTATAGGGGTCATTCCCTCATTACCGCACCAAGAAAAACGGAGCTGCAAAACCAATCGGTGGCTTCGAACAACCGTCACCCTTTCTGAGGTCAGGTCCGGCAACATCTCGTCGTGCAGCACACCATCCGGGATTCCCTGCACCGGCACCTGCCGTTTCAGCCAACATTGCGGGCAAGTTAAGCCCTCGACTTCCTCAAAAACTGGGTCCGTCGCGGACCCTCAAAAAGGAAATCGCCCCAAAAGTTGTTTTTTCTCCTTCCCCAACAGCTGAAAGCTTTCCGGGGTGGTCCGCCACGAGGTTCTGCAAAGGCTGCGGGGTGGTGCGAGCACTAAAAAGAGCACCGCATGCTGTTGGGGATGTTACCTGAGCTTATTCTTTTTCGAGAAACGAGTCAAATGCCAAACATGGTGCTGTATCCTGTGTGTGTATCCCTTTGAAACCACTCCAAGAAGGGTACCAAACCTCCAAAAAAGCACAAACCCAAAATGGAACTACCCTAGACCCAGAAACCTTCCCGCCTACCCTCCACCACCATTGCAGTCTGAGTGGGGGACGAAGGGGGGCCAACGAATGTGCCACCGAAGCGCCTCCCTGGGGAAGTCCTCATTCGCCCGGGCGTGGAAGCACGAGATGAAGCCCTCGCGAGGGAAGCGACGGAGGCAAAAACTCGGCGCCGCAAAAACCGCACGGCCGCGCCCTCCGGGAAAAGGCCAGCGGCTGCTTCAGGTGGTTTGATGTGAGGGAAGATGTCCGGAGGTCAAACGATTTGGTGGTTTCATGCTTCAAGGGACCGTCTCAAGTCCAAGAAGCGACCCGCGCCTCGTCCCCCGCGTCGCAGTGCTTCCCCTGAGCTCCGCGCGGCAAGTGAAAACAGCCATCCTAAAGCAGGGGACCGAACCTGCATGGATCAACAAGCTGCGATCTATCTGAGGAAACTCAACGGTAGGCGTCGTTGCCTTCCCGGCATCTTCCAGTAGTGTTGTACCAATATGGAGCCTCATGTATGATATTGAAACACGACTTGCAATCTTTCGAACGTGCAATTGTTCTCCAATTGTTCTCAAGCATAGCTTCCATTTTCATGTTTCTATATCTATGCATATGCTCCTGACAGTTGCACATTAAATCAACAGGGTGGATCGCATCTTCAGCATCACCAGCATCATTTGAACCCGTTTGGCCCTGATCAATTTGTCCAGGTGGGTCAGCACCAAACTCGTCCAAATGATGCTGGACATGCTGAGGATGCTGGCTCAAACCAAGCCACCAGCCACAGCCCCAAGAGCAGACCCAGGGGAAAGCACCTCATCGGCGCCTTGCTTTGAAACGGGGCAAAGCGAATCTGACCCTCACCCCGCCTTGATGATGTCAAGAAGCGCCCTGCCTGTCTCAAGAAATCACAGGAGAATCGCACTATTGCCGGCAAGAAGCGTTTGTTTTCTTGTTGCATCAGGAAACTTTGTGGCTTAGGACCCAGAACTGGCATATCTCCAGCCTTCTGCCGCATCGTTGCCCACCTGGCAGCCCGGCTTGGCCCAAGTGACACTCTAGGAGCGCTGACCTTCTGGCTTTCAAGTGGGACATGGACTGATTGGACATGTGGGGACTTCTGTTCGGCCTCAATAAGTGACCCATGGTGGCTTGGGCCGAAGGGAATATTGATCACCACAAAAACCACAACAACCGCAACAACCACAACAACAACCACCACCACAACAATCGCCACCACAACCACCACAACAACCGCCACCACCACAACAAACAACCCCCACCCCCATTTGGGGTCATGTAAAATTATCATCCCCTTCACTGAGGCGCCGGCCGGCGTCCCGGTGAATCCGGCCAGGACGGTCCGAGTCGCATCGTGCTGGCAAAGCGATTGCGAGAGACCGGCGCTCGCTCGGAGGGCTGCAGATCGGGGCGGAGGGGGGTGGAGGAGTTTGGAGGGAACCTCTTTGGGGCCTGGTCCAGTGGAAAACCAAAACGGAAATAAATACTTCTGCGAAAAGTTTGCCACATTTGGGTGTGCCAGTGCCTGAGGCGCAACAAAAGACACCCCCATTGAAAGACAATGCCAAATTGGCGCGGCCTGTTTCGGGCCGCTGCGAAAATGTGACTGCAGCACGCGATCCACGTGTGGCTCTTTGACTCTTTGCCAGAATGATAGCCTTCTCCAAATCCTGGAATTGTTAGGGGCCCTGTTCAGAGGATGCCAGTCTTCAAAACAAGAATGGTGAGGGGTGGATATGGCCATTTTTGGATTTTGGTGCCCCTTTTTGGGATAGGGGGGGGGGGGGGGGGAATTTGACCAACTTTCCACTTCCAAAAATCCGAACATCCAACAAAGCCAACAATCCGAGCATTCAAAAGAACCCGGCTGTCCACTTCCATAGTTGCAAAGCGGGGGTCCCAGCTGCCTGCCCTCAGGTCACTTTTTGTGAGGAACGGACCAGAAGATTTCGGAGATGTCCGAGCTGGTCCTGAGACTCCAACCTCTCGTAAAAGGAGGATGGGCGCGTCTAACTAGGGACCCAAAAAAATGGTTTCCGGTTTCCCCTTGGCTTCCCTGGCAACCAACCCCCAAAAAGGGTAGCCAAAAGACAGACACCTTTGGAACCCGAAACGCGGCGGTTGAGAAATTCCGCAAACAGGTGGCTCGGGCATCTGGATTTTCAAAAGAGGATCATCAGTGTTTCTCAAGCTCCAGACATCACCTTGCTGCCCTTGCCTCCGAATGACCATGGCTAACTTTCCCCTTTTAGGCATACTATCCTTTTTTGTGGTTTTCCAACCACAGGTCATCCCATCTAACAGACCTTTTGATCAACCCACGCAAATGGCTCCTCGTACATCTGGTTGGGTCTGACGAGGTTATGGCATTCGTCCATGATCACGACCTGGCATGGCGCGATGTCAACCCCATCGTCTCTGAAAAAAGTCCCTCCTATGACTGGGTGCATCTGTTCTGGGGCTCGGCACCTCCCCTTCTTTTGTCCGTTGCCAGGAAATTTCAAAGGCAAGCCACCATTTGGGGCTCCAAAAATCCCCCCAAGAAAGGCAGACGAGCCGACCCCCAATCCATCAAAGAGTCAGTCGCTCCCATGCGCCTTGCCAGAATAGGGGTTGAGCCTCAGAGATGCAGCCGAGCGAGGGCGAAAAAAATCAGCAACGAACTGTACCTGGGTCACAACACCGATCGCGCCCCCCCCCCCCCCCCCCCCAATTCCCACAACCGTGCCCACATTGGCCACTTGCAAAAAGTGGGATTCCCTGAACAGCCCTATCAAAAATGGCCCACCAGCAAACCAACGCAAAGAACTATAAAGGCGGAGATTCGTCGAACAGTTATCAAGTGGCTCACCTGGGTGCTCAAGTCGCCAAGTGAGTAAGTTGTTGGTGGGAGCCTTAAATTGCGTTCCCAGTGATTTTTGGGGTGAACCTTGTTCTTAGGGGGGTTAGGGGGGTCAAAAGCCCCAAGTGGCGAACCACTTACTTGGCCAAACATCCAAGTACCAATGGTACATTTCTCACTTGCCCAAAGGGCAACTGGAAAGAAAAGGTGATCACCTTCTGAACCTGGACAAATAGACCAAAAGGGGCAAAACCAGGTGAAGAGGTCGATTCGCGTACAACTCACACCTACAATTCATGGAGGATGAGACATCCATTTCTACCCCCAATCAGCAGGTTGCCCCTAGTTGGCGGCCTGGATTGGTGGGGACTGGGGGATTTGAACCCCTTCTTGAGGCTTTTCCTTCACCACTCCAAACCCATTTGGATCTGAGATCTGGGGCCCGGGCTCCGCCACGTCGAAGCCCATCTTCAGGATGGGGCTCTTGGGCCACCCATCCTAAGTCGATTGATCGGCGCCAAGTCCCAGGCGGCTTCTCCCAAAACTCGGGAGAGCACCCCGCCAAAGGGTTCCGTGGCTTTTCCTGCGGGTTCCGGTTATAGAGAACAACGAGCACTCGAAAACCAGACACACACACACTGTGTGCCTCTTGAGGATTTGTTGTGCCTGGTTCAGGCGTGGTTGAAGCCTATTAGGCATGTTCATGCATCTTGTGGCAGTGTTTTAGACATGTGTTGATTCTTGTTAGGCCTTGTTGTGCCTTTAGTTTGCCTTATTGTGCATGCGCTTGGGCTTTTCGTGCCTTTGTTAACGTTTTAGTGCCGTCTTTTGGCCTTTTGCGACTTTGTTGCCTTTTCGAGCGCTCAGTGCCCGATCCCCAGGCTTCTGGGCTTCCCCCACCCTGCCGAGCGCCGCGGCGCCCCCTCCCGCCGTGGTGTAGCGGAAGGCGCGCAGTGGCGCACGGGGCATGGGGGCGTCCGGGTGCGCCTCAAGCTGAGGAACTGCATTTGATGAGCTTGGTATGGTTGTCCATCATGGTGGGGCTTTATGTCCAACCACTTCCGAGGCAGCATAACTCTATAACTCAGGGGCTCAAACATTGAGTCGATTGGAACTGACGTTCTCCACGTGGCTGTGGGTCAAAAAGATGTAGCCAAATGGAGCCCTGGTAAAATCGAAACATGGACGGAAATATGCGGTCCAATTCCTGGTGGCTTAATTTTGACCCATACCCGTATCAAAAGTTCACCTCGGTGACTTGAGGGTGACTTGAGGGTGACTTGAGGGTGACTTGAGGGTGACTTGAGGGTGACTTGAGGGTGAGTTTCATCAAGGTATCCATTTGATGCGTTTGGAACCCCAAACGCTCAACGGTCCCCAAGTGATCAAGGTGGAAGAATGGAAGCCCCACTGAGGCACTGGTGGGGGGTTTAGGAACCTGGTGGATCTGAGCATCGCCCCTTGGTCCCGAAGGCGATGTTTTCTTTTTGGTTTCCCTCGGTTGGGACCCTGTAAAAACGAATGGCCGGCAGGGCACCCAATTTACATGACAACAATCCTGAACGGTAAACCATGGTGTCTTTTCACTCCGGGGTTTTTTAAGGGTTGTGAGCCTGGTTTTAGAATCCCAAACGACTCAAAACGACAGCCCCCAGAAAATAGAATGAGGTGGTAAAGCTTGTTATACGAAATGAAGTAGGGATCATGGTGTTTGTGCTTGTTAAGACCCAGAATTTCTTTAACTAATGTCGTCGAGTTTCTTGTCTCTGAAATGGTTCAACTTGAGGAGTGAACCCTTTGGGGATGCTGAGGAAAACCTGGTAGAAACGCCAGATTCAGCAACCCTCTCGTGGGGTGTGCCCCTTTTAAGCGGGATTCATGACTTGCGGAGGGTGAAACCCCCATAGGACGGGTTCTGCTCAAATCCGGAGTCAACATTACTCCCCAGCAGGATTCTTACCTGCCTCTCAGGGAAAACCCGACGATTCCTGAAAACCACCAGTTCGATGCTTCAGCTCGGGGTCGGTGAAACTGGCTCCCTGCCAATCGAACCGATTGCAAGTTTTCATGGGTTCGTCTCACTCCAAAAGCTGGGCTTGCCGCTACCTTCAGAATAACCCCCCGCCCCCGAAAAGGGGCCGCCAAGCCTCAAAATTCATCTTCGCACCTTCGCCAGATTCAACCGAGGTCGGCAAAGCCAAGGCCGGTCTCTGTCCCCAGCCTCCAGGAAGTCCCTGGCCACCTTGGCTTTCACCTGACGGGCAATATGCAGCCAATAGGCCTAGCTGTCTAGGCCCTCGGCAAAGCAACGAATCCATCGGCAAAGCTGTGCGGTAGAGCAAAGTGGGGCAAGCTGGTGGCCTGGAGAATGCGCTTCTTCCAAACGCTTGGGCCAGCCGAGGTGGGAAAAAATTGGAGGCAATGCTGAGAGCAACGCAAAGTCAATCTCAACAGAGGTTGGCTCCGATATTCTAGAATCCCCTTTTGCCGAAATCGCGCAATCCAAAGCAGGGCCAAATCCTTTCAGAACCCAAGGATCTTGCCCATGGCGTTTGGACAGCCCAAAGTGCTCTTTGGTTTCCGGCCTAGCCAATGTTGAAAAGCTCCAACCTAGATCTTGAAGCCGCTGTTGGCCAGCCATCGGAAACAGGTTTAAACCACGATTGCTTCAACCTCCTTTTCGCTTTCCCTCAACGGCACGTTTTGGGCCTGGCTGCTTAAACAAGCTCTGCGACCAACCCTCGTTCCAACATGCATTCAAAGGTCCAGTGTGTCCCTATGTCCGGACCAAAAAACTGGCTTCCCCAAGACGACTTGGGAAATTTGGGCCAAACAACAGGTGTCCAAGGCTCCCCTCAAACCAAGAACCCTCCGAGACAGCACCCGGTGCTTCGGCCCAAGATAAACAAACAAATCACCGAGCGCGCGCACCCTCGCACCTTGCCGCCGCAAATGGCGTGCTTCATCTCCAAGGCCTGCGTAATGCGACGTGTGGCTTGGTATCAAAGTAGCGATCCGCACCCCAAAAACCGTGGTTGTATTTCTGGCTTCCAAACATCACTGATCCTTTTGGTGTCCTATGACGACAAGGCTAAAGTGGTTACCCTTCAAAAATGACACGCCCAGCAGTACAGGAGGCGTGAGGAGCCTTTGACACCTGTGAAGCCCAAGCCGGCCCGCGGAGGGCGCGCGCGCAAAGGCGCGCGGGGGGCCGCGGGGAGATTTTTAAAAAAATGGGGGAATACATTTCTCAAAAGGCCTTTTGAGAAATGTAATTGTTTTTCGGGGGAAAAAAACTCCCGCCTGAAAACCAAAAAAACAAAAAAAAACGTGGGGAAAAAACATTGGGCCGCGAGGGGGAGGGGGGGGGCGGTTGCCCCGCGCCCCCCCAACCGCCCCACCCAAAATTCAACCGAGATTTATCGAGGTTGCGTGCCGACTCCCCCATGTTTTTTAAACATGGCCTGTTCCCCCGCGCGCCCCCTATAAAACTCTGGAGTTTTATCCCACCGAAGTTGCCCACAAATCAGGGGCAGTTGGGGGAGTCGACACGCGGAAAAAATATGTTTGGGGGCCGAAAAATACATTTCTCAAAAGGCCCGGGCCTTTTGAGACATGTATTTTTCTCAGCACGCGGAAAAACATATTTTGGGGGGGCGCGGGGGGAGTCGGCACGCGGGAAGAAGAAAAAATGGGCCCCAAGCTACCCCCGCACCTCACCCAAAAAGGGAAGCCACGGAGATGGTCCCCTTTCCAGCTGGGCCATTGCACGTAGGGCAAACCTCTAAACCGTTGGTGTTTGAAGAGTGGGGTTCTCAAGGGCCCCAAGCGTTCGAGGCGCACATTTCTGGGCTCACACGATGTCAAGCTAGGTGGGTCCCTTTAAGAAAATTCGCTCAGCCACACGCACCGGTTTTGGCGCTTGCGCCTTTCCCCGTTTGAGTCTTCGCAGGAAGTTGGTGAGAAGCAACCGGCTAAATGGTAGACGCTAAATGTGGATTTGTCTCGGAACCCCCAAACTGGCTAGTTTCCCTTTGGCTTCCCCCTTCGATGGGTTTGTCTTCTTTTTTGAGGGTAGCCTCTTTTGGAGTTGGTTTAAAAGGGAGCCGAGCAAAACCACGTCTCAGCGGGAGACAAAGGCAGACTCTACATGGACTTGACCGCCTCTCGGATGCTCTCCGTGAGCTCAGCGATGACCTTCTCCAAGCGCGCGCCCCGCGACTTCGCCTAGCGGATGTGACGTCCAGGAAGTGAACCCAAAAAAATCCGAGCCTCGCCGGGAAAACCGGGGCAAAAGCCAAAGGGAACAGTTTGAAAAGACCAACGGTTGAGATTGAATGGGGTAACTTTCCTGAAAGAGATTGGACATTGTAGTATTGATCCTAATTATGAAAGAGATTGTGCTGCATCCAAATCGAAGAGGGCTTTGTTAATTGGCAATCAAAGTGATTTCGCTTCATACTCTCCCTCTTCAAGCGAGCCCCGACCAAAAACAAAAATACAGGGCCTGAGTGGCCATTTTCCTTGAGTCCCCGATGTTTGTGTGGCACTGGTGGGAGTTCTCCCATGTCCCTCCATGAACCATAGACTGGAAACATGTTGGCCAAACCTCATAGGTGCCATCTTTGCAAAACTCCAAGCTGCCAAAGCTGCTAAGAGCATCAGAGTCACAATCAAAACCCGGTATTAAAATGGTCTACCCAGAATCATGTAAAGAATTAAGAAGGCGGCAACAACTAGTTCTTGCTGCGACTTTCCCTTAGCCTTCGTCTACTCGGGTTTTGATTATGGATCATCAGATCTATGCCGGCCCCGTTTTGCACCCGCGCGTGCCATCTCTGCAAGGTGATACATATAAGCAAATTGTGCGCGCCGTCGCGCGACTCCGCGAAGCTTGGGCTGACTTGCGCTCGCAACTCGCTCCGAGGCACATGAGGCACGGTCAAAATGACTTGCTTCCCCAAAGGGACATGGGCATAGGTGTCCTTCTTGGAAAATAGATGGCCCTGGTAGCTGATTGAACCACCACGTAAACCAGGGCCCTCTTTTTTTTTAACCAGAGCAACCAAAAAGGACACCTATGGACAAGGGACATTCAGTGCGTCCCTCCGGAAGTTTCGACCAAACCCCATGTACAATCCCTGTGTCCTTTAAGGCCATCGTTCCACCGGCTTGACCCGGTAGCCAGCACGCCACATCAAAATGGTCGGAATCTCTTCTCTGGCGGCATGCCTGCGACAAACACCATTCTGAACGCGCGCCCAGCGGGTGACAAGACGTGCAATCGAAACCTGGTAAGGAGGGTAGATGAAAGTAGCAAAGAATCATGAAGGCGGCCGCGCCTATCTTTGGTTGGGACTATCCCTTACTAACCTTATATAAACTATCCAGATGTTAATTGATTAGATGAAAAACTGTGAGAGGGTAAGGCAAGGTAGTCCTGTCTTCGGGCATGCTATGTTCAGCAATTGCTGCAAGTCCGCCACAAACAAACATCTGTTGGACGTCCTTTCGAAATGATTCCAATCCCTGAATCATCAAGAAGTTATGTGTCAGAAGCAGGTCTACCGTTTCCACTTTTCCACTGAACTGAACAGCGTCCTTGAAAAGGGTCTCTACACTGCCAGAAGGCGGCTGCTCAAAGGTAAAACATGGTCAGAAGGTAACGGGCGTCCAACATGAGCACACAGCATCAATTGTCCTCGCATGGGTTTAGGAAAGGTTGGCTGCCGTTTCTGCATTGTTCTTTTGTGCGAAAGAGATTCAGGTCTTGTTTGCTACATCCTCCTGAAATAAGCTGCCAAAGACTCATAGCACAAAGTTGGTTCATAGATAAAGTTGCTCAAATGGTCCCAGCTCAATCCGATTGACTTCTCCTTGACGCAGCTGTCGGTAGCTTCTGATGTTCTTTGCTGTCCACTCCACATTTGCTTCGTCCCTCAGAAGGGATATACCCAAATCCGTGTCATCCTATGGCCGGCCCCCTGAAGGAGCCCAGGCAACCATAGTCTCAACAAATTGTCCATAAGTAGCCCGACCGCAACTATGTGATTGGTTGTCGAAAGGTCGGCAAGGACACTTTGCGATGGGTCTTGCGCATGGTGCTAACCCCCCCCCCTGTTTCCTGCCAAAGCGACTCTGGACGGCCAAGAAGATTGTAAGTTGTTCATGTGGCATACACCTGGACGACACGTCGCTCGCGTCAGGCAAAGGCCTTCGCCGAAGTTCATCCGTCCCATGCCGGAGCCAGCCATCCTAGGTCCGAATGCGACCCACCCCCCTTTTTTGCAGGCACCGTTCGTTTCGTGGGTTTGAAAGGGAAACCCGAAGGAAAACCCAAGCTATTTTCGGGGCAACCAAAATCAAACCAGCTATTGGGTCCTGCAAAAGACACGCCCAAACCACCTGAACCCAGGTTTTCCTGTGGACACCACCCATGTGCCTCCCCGCAAATCTGCACATGCACACATACGTACTAAATATACTGCCTGAATATTATTATTTTTTCGGATGCTTAATCCATGTACGTGTCTACGTATAAATCCCCTCTTACTCCAAAATCCGATGCCTTTTCAGAAGCCATGAACCTGGACAACGGCGCAAATCCCCATGTGTTGAGAAGCCATCATCATGGAAGCCATGAACATGCTTGGCTGGAATTAGGACCCCAGCAAAAGAATATCTTTTTTGCCTGGTTCATGGAAAACAAAAAAAGTAAAAAGGGGGAACTAATTCTGGGGAATGGGCCGCAACGGCACACAGATGGCGAGCAACTTGCCACCCGAGGCGCCAAGGGCTCTCCAGCTCTTGCGCCTGCAGCTGGCCGTTCCCTCAGCTCGCAGGCCGAAAGCCGTGGGGCGGGTCCCGCGCTTTCTGGGGGGAGTGGCTGGTTGGGGGGGGTTGGTTGGTGGGGGGGGGGGTTGGTTGGTTGGTTGGGGGGGCCAAAGGAACTCTTGGCGCGACGCAACTCTTTGCCAAGAAAAAAAGTTGCCGTTGTTTTTGCAGCCGGTTGTTGGGGTAAAGTGGATGGGAAAAAGCAGCAACTGGCTATCCAGGTGTGAATCAAAAGTCCCAAAGCCTCCAGCCTAAAACCACTCGAAGCCGACCCCAAGCCTTAAACCGACCAAAAGACCCACCGGAACTACTCGAAATGACTCAGCCAACCCCGAATCGAGCCTTCTTCCGACCGAAGAAAAAACTAGAGGACGATTGGCCCGAAAGCATTTTTCCCCAAGCGCTAGCCGCGGAGACACCTTTTTACATCGATGCGTGTCTGCACGCGGCGATGCTCAATGTGTATGGTCACATGAGAGCTCCATCTCATCGTCCTACGAGAGGAAACATGGCAGTGTCTGCGCAAGCTGCATTGTTCCAGGCTGCTGCGCGCAAGTTGCTCTCTGCAAGCTGCTGCGCGCAAGTGGCTCGACATCTGTCTTCAAGCTGTTCTGTGCACGTTGCTCTGTGTAAGTTTTTCTCCGCAAGACGCTCGGCGCTGTATCTGTGCGCAAGATGCTCAGCCTGAGCTGAGCTGTGGAGGTGCTCCATGTCTGCGCTTCAGGGTTGCGATTTTCCGGTCGGAGCCGCCAGGAGTACACTCCACATACTACGGCTTCTTTGCTTGAGCCGGAGCTGCCGCGGACCAGGGGGGAATCGAACCCGCGACCGCGCATTGCGAAACCACGCCCGCAAACCGCGAGACAACTTCCATACGCGAGGAAAAAAAGAACGGCGCCACAGCGAGAGCGCTTCGACACGCACGATCTCTGCAGAGGCACGCACGATCCCCGCAGAGGGTTCATCCGCGCACCGCAAAAACGCAAAACACCTCGACCACGCCGATCCCTGCAGAGGGTCGCGAGGGCAGATCAGAAATCAAAAAACTTGAGTTTTTGTACCTCGACCACACCGATCCCCGCAGAGGGTCGCGCGGGCAGATCAGAACTCGAGTTTTGTACCTCGACCACGCCGATCCCCGGGTCGCGCGGGCGCCACAAGAATCGCAAAAAACCTCGAGTTTTTGCACCTCGACCACGCCGATCCTCGCAGAGGGTCGCAATCCCGATCGACGATCAAAATCCTGCCCCGGCGCCCTAGCAACCTAACCTTAACTTACATAGCTGCTAACGCCGAAGCGCTATGCACTTGGCTCTGTGCACTCGGCTCTATGCACTTGGCTCCATGCACTTGGCTCTATGCACTCGGCTCTGCGCACTCGGCTCTGTGCACTCGGCTCTATGAACTTGGCTCTATTTGCACTTGGCTCTATGCACTTGGCTCTATGCACTTGGCTCTATGCACGGCTCTATGCACTTGGCTCCATGCACTTGGCTCTAAGTATTTAATTTGACTCTGCGCAAGTGACTCTATGCAAGTTGGCCCGAGAGCTCCGCGCGGAAGAACCCTTCGCGACGCTTTCGGGAAACAACACGCAGATGGGTCGCAGCCACCTTGCGACCCGTTTCGCACGCCGAGGCACGAAGTACCGCTGTGAAGGAAACATCCTGGCGCGAAACCGTCTTGCACGAAGCAGAAAGCCTGGCGGGTGCCACCTCCAAACGGCTGTTCTCAATTGGGTCCATGTTTTCCACATTCTTTCCATGTTGTTTGTTTGGTTGTCTTTTTTTGTTGGAGGGTACCTTCTTTTTTGTTCTTTTTTTCGGGGCGGAGGGGGGGGGGGGAAGTGAAACCAGAAGGAAACCGAAACCCATTTTGGGAGGTGCGAAGTCTTATCTTGAGACAAACCCGTGTACTTGTTCGTTTGGTTTCCACTTTGTCCATTCACGCCCTACACATCAACACGGAACCAAAAGGCCTCGCCTGTTCGGAGTTTCCCCCAATGCGCGCTCTTTTTTGCGGGGGCTCCTTCCCTGAATCTCTGTCCAGAAACCCATAAATTTTCCCCATCAAGCCTCTGGGAAGCCCAACGAACCCCCTACCCCTCCGCAACGTTTCCAAGGTGACCACGAGCATAGGCCTACCCCCAAAGCCAAGTCAGCCGGGCTCAGAAGCTGGGCTTGACCCATACCCGGTGGCTTGGTTGCTGACCCCTCTGCATGATGTGCATAACTTGTTGTGGGTATGGAAAATCCCACCTGATTCGACCAAGTTAAAGTCCAAGGATCCGTTTACCAAAGAGGCCACAAAGCAGCGAACCTGAAACTGCAGTCGGAACGGATGAGTCAGACCCCTCGAAATTCCCGGGTCAACCCTGTAAGCCACCCATCCCA